CCTGGACCATAGAAACTACACCTGGACCATAGAAACTACACCTGGACTAGCCATTCTGTGTTTGCCTGTGTCTCTTTTATGTCCTCCCTGACACCAGTCAGTCAGGTAAATGTCTGGTCCTGGTTCTGCTAAAGGTCTCTTTCTGTAATAAATGTCTGTTTTTTCCTTTCCAATGTAACCATGGTATGTGCTCTTCAGTACTCAGTCAGCTGTTCTTCCTTAGATAAAGAACTTTTGACTAAAAATGGCATGTTCTATTGTTTGTGAATGTTTCTATACAGCACCCTGAAATGACACTTGTTGTGAATTGGCACTGTATAAAACACTGTATTTAATTCAAATGAATCCTGTCAGAATAAAAAACATGAAGCAGATAAATCCTGTCAGAATAAAAGTCAGAAAGCTGAAACATCCTCTTAAAATTTTGATTCACTTCTGGGCCCAAGCTATGACCTCCACATATTCTCTGACAGCTGTTTGGATAAAACATTTGAGAAAAACTGATGTTTTGTTTGTCTTAATGTTTTAAAATACAAAGTACAAAGTATATATGTTTTCTTTCTGCTGTTCTGAAAATAAATATCTGACTTTTCTATCTGCACCTGAAGGCAACAAATGCCTCACAGCTTTGACCAGCTGATGATTGTTTCATTTCCGAGTCACTGAAATACTTGGCCCATGTTTAGATTCTGACCTCTGAACCCTGATTTTGTGGTGGCTGTAGCTGCAGATCACGTGACCCTGTAGTGGATCGAGTGTCAGCTGGAATGAAGGAGAGTTCAGACTGAAACCATAGAACCTGTTTCTGCAACATGAGTTGAGCTGCTGTAACAACAAATGACGTGCTGACCTGCCACGTGGCCCAGCGCCTGCCACGGGTCAAAGGTCTACTACTGGCGGCTTGTGTCCTAGCAGAGAGCAGCTGATCCTGGATCAGAGAACTGAGACAAATTTCACAAAATTTGAGCCAGGAAAAACAAAGTGAGAGCAGTTGAAGGTCTAAGAGTCTTCATGACTGAAAGACACACAGAAGCAGCTTTCTAACTGAGGAAGACTCTCTAAGATACTGTATGTCTTTGATAAAAATGCTAGAAGCTTTGCCACGAAGGACGACGCTGAAAGCTTTGTCACTGATGAAGACTCCGAAAGCTTCATCACTTATGAATATTCTGGAAACTGTGTCATAATGGAAGACTGTATGCTTAGTTACTGATGAAGACTCTGAAAGCTTTCCCACCATTGAAAATGCTAGATGCTTTGTGGCTAAAGAAAACTAAAATAATTGATGAAGACTCTGGAACCTTCTTTACTGATGAAGACTCTGGAACCTTCATTACTGATGAAGACTCTTGAACCTTTGTCAATGATGAAGACTCTGGAACAGTTTTCTGTATACAGCTCATGAACCATTTCTCAGAATCAAAGTGTTTCCAGAGTTGATCTCAATCAAACCTGCTAACTTTTCAGTTTTTAAAAAGTTGTTCTCATCTGATGTCACATGATCTGCAGCTGCAGTTCATCAACCAGTCAGTGATCAGGTTTATTAACGATGCCACAGTGATAGGAAGAGAAAGTGTGGTTTTAAACTCCATGGCATTTCCCCCATACCAGGCTCCACCAAGAAAACCTGGAATTTCAGGGTGTTCCCAGGTTTTCCCTGTTTTTAAAGGCCTTCTTGTTTTTTTTTTTATCCTGATGCATGCTCAATAATCCAGGTAGAAAAATTTAAAAAAGTTAAATCTGGTCCTCTGGACATTCAAAAATAAAACAAAACAAAAAAATTGTAGAAACGTTTTGTCTTTCTTCCGAAAGACTTCCTCAGTCTGAGGTGCTGTATTCAGCTCAGTCTTATAAACAGCACCTTCTCGCAGTGGATCAACCAGTTTGCTGCTGACAGCCAAAACCAGCTGCTCACATAATCAAGGAAAATTTTGGAACAGGACAAAGTTATTGACCATATTCTGTACCACAGACTGTACCCAGGGGAGGCCACACCTAATCTGTATGGTTTACCTAAAATTCACAAACAAGGTGTACCTTTAAGACCAATTGTTAGCATGATTAACTCTGTCACTTACAATGTTTCCAAATATCTGGCGTCTGTACTCATCCCTTTAGTTGGCAGCTCAGAACACCACATACAGAACACCATGGACTTTGTGGA